TTTCAACACTTTCTCGGTGTAATTGGTTTGGTGGATGAAAATTCCATTCTTCAAATGCTCAATTTGAAGTCAGACAAAATTTGGTTCTCCCGAGATCTTTCATTTCAAATTCTTTCATAAGATATTTTGCAGTATTTTCAATTTCATCGGGAGTTCCAATAATGTTTAAGTCATCAACATATACTGCAATTATGGCGAATCCTGAATTTGATCGTCGAATGAAAACACATGGACTAATTGGATCATTCTTATATCCTTCTTTGAGAAGATATTCACTGAGACGATTATACCACATTCGCCCAGATTGTTTTAGTCCATACAATGACTTTTGTAGTTTTATAGAAAACATTTCTCGAGGTTTCGAGTTATAAGCTTCAGGCATTTTAAATCCTCCGGGAACTTTCATATAAATGTTTGTATCGAGTGAACCGTATAAATATGCAGTCACTACATCCATTAGGCGCATTTGCAGCCTTTCAAAAACAGACATGCCAATGAGAAACCTTAATGTAGTTGCATCAACTACTGGAGAATAAGTTTCTTCATAATCAATTCCCGGCATTTGAGAAAACCCTTGGGCAACAAGTCGGGCTTTATATCTCACGATTTCATTTTTCTGATTGCGTTTACGCACAAATACCCATTTAAAACCCACAGGTTTTATGCTTTTTGGCGTAGGGACTATCGATCCAAAAACATCACGTTTTTCAAGTGATTTTAATTCAGCCTGAATAGCTTCATTCCATTTTGGCCAATCATGTCGTTTCCGACATTCTTCTATTGATGTTGGCTCATTGTCATTGTTTTCATTCATAACATTTGTGGCAACGACATAAACAAATATCTTATTAATATCAACATCTTTACGATTCCATTGTATTCCAGTAGAAACGTAGTTTATTGAAATTTCATAATTATCAACGTTTCTATCATTATCTGGAATATCTTCCTCGTTTAAGGAAGTTGGATCATCATTTGAGATGTTTGTTTTGTCAATATCATTTTCTATGCTAATATTTTCAAATTGTCCATTTTCTTGTTCAGAAGGATGAACATCTTTGGCATCACAGACCAATTCATGCCTTTTAGTTTTTCTTGGTTTTATATCTTTTGATCCAAGTGGCCTGCCACGCTTTTTGCGCATAGAAGAATCATTTGCAAGAGATTTTTCAAAATTCTCTGTTGGAATTTCGATTCTGGCAGGAGCATTCATAGCAGGAATATGTGACTTTGTCACTTTCTTTGTATCTGTGAATGCATCAGGCAACTGATTTGCAACATTTTGTAAATGGATTATCTTTTGCACCTCTTGCTCACATATATTTGATCTGAAATCAAGGTGTGATAATCCTGTTGCATTCCATGTTATTTCTTTCGTACTTGGGTCCGATTTATTAGTTTCTCCCCCTAAGGTTGGGAATACTGTCTCATTGAAATGACAGTCAGCGAATCGTGCGCTGAATAAGTCACCAGTCATCAGTTCAAGATATTTGATTATTGAGGGAGATTCAAATCCAACATAAATTCCCAACCTTCTTTGAGGACCCATTTTTGTACGATGAGGTGGAGCAATTGGAACATAAACAACACAACCAAATATTTTTATGTGTGCTAAGTTTGGCTCTTGTCCAGTAACTAATTGCATTGGGGAATATTCATGATATGGAGTCGGTCTAAGCCGAACTAAATTTGCTGCATGTAAAATAGCATGTCCCCAAGCTGATGAAGGTAAATTACACTTCATTAATAATGGTCTGGCGATTAATTGTAATCGTTTAATCAAAGATTCAGCAAGACCATTTTGTGTATGGACATGAGCAACAGGGTGTTCCACATCAATCCCAATCGACATACAATAGTCGTTAAATGATTGAGATGTAAATTCTCCTGCATTGTCAAGTCGGATTCTCTTTATAGAATGATCCGGAAAATGAGCTCTTAATCGTATGATTTGAGCAAGGAGTTTAGCAAATGCTAGATTTCTAGTCGATAACAGACTGACATGTGACCAACGTGTTGAAGCATCAATCAACACCATAAAATATCGAAATGGTCCACATGGTGGGGCTATCGGCCCACAAATATCTCCTTGAATCTTTTCTAAAAATGCAGGTGATTCGGTTGCAATTTTGTTCAAAGAGGGCCTGATGATCATTTTGCCAAGAGAACAGGCCTTACAAGGAAAATCCCTTGATATTGGAACCCTTATATTCTTTAATGGGTGTCCAAGTGAAGTCTTAATGATTTTATGTATCATTACATGGCCTGGGTGACCTAAACGGTCATGCCACAACATGAATGTTTTCTGATCATCTAACTTTGTGTTAGAAACCAAATTTATTTCAAATGGACTAATATATGTGAAATATAGTCCTGAGGAATATGCTGACATTTTTTCACAAATATATTTAGTGCCAGATTTAGTTGTTGTAAGACAAATATATTCTTTTTGGTTTTCATTCATGGTTTCTATGTGATAACCATTTTGACGCATATCTTTAAAGCTTAATAAATTCCTCCGCGATTTGCTGGAGTATAAAGCGTCATTTATAATTATTTTGGTCCCGTTAGGGAGCATCACATATGCTTTCCCAGAGCCTTCAATGAGCTTCGCAACACCTGATATGGTATTGACTTTAGCCTCAACTAAAGTCATTTGAGAGAAATATATTTTATTTCTCAAAATGGTGTGCGTTGTGGCGCTGTCTATCAGACATAGCTCTTTATCATTTGAGTGATCCATATCTTCAAAATGTGTAAATAAACATAAGCTTGATCACAAATTGTGCATATAATTTAACATAAAGTACATATATTACACACATTTATTTTAAAAAAAACAAAAGAAAAAGGGAAGAAAAAAATACATAAAACTAATATGTTACAACATAAGGATCGGAGTTTAGTATTTTATTTTGCGACATTTTGGTTTATTGCAAAAGCATCGTCCATAATGGCATCATCCGTGAAAAAGTCGGACACGTCAAATTTTGGCAGAGGTGGAGTCGTGTCATTGACATAATTAGCTTCCATATTTTTGCCGTTGTTCAAGTTCATGGAAGCTTGAAATAATTCCACCAGATGCTTTGCAGTGCGGCATTTGTTAGCCCAATGCCCCGTCATGCCACATTTATAACAAGTCGTCTTTACCCATGTTTTTGGAGGGCGATTTATTTGATGGGCCTTTTGTTTGCCCTTGCCCTTATAATTTGGTCTTGTTTATATTCTCGATGTGACTTGTTTTTATGACCATTAAAATGCCCACGTTTAAAATGCCTTCTACTGCCACTGTATGTTGCATTTGATTCAGTGGCTAAATTATGGCCAGATGGACCATAAACCGAAGGACTAGAACCAGTGAGTCTTAGATTATGATTTTTCATCAAAAGGTCATTATTTTGCTCAGCTACCAATAATACTGATATTAAGTCGGAGTATTTTTTAAAACCTTTTTCTCTATATTGCTGTTGGAGCAGCATGTTAGAGATATGCATAGTAGAAAAGGTTTTCTCCAACATATCAGCATCAGTGACTTTTTGTCCGCATAACTTTAATTTAGATGTTATTTGGAACATAGCATAATTATAGTCACTGATTGATTTAAAGTCCTGGAATCTTAGATTGATCCAGTCATACTGAGCCTTAGGCAAAATGACCTTTTGTTGATGGCCATACCTCTCATGTAAATTGTCCCATAATTCTTTTGGGTCATCAACCAAAAGATATTCAGATTTGAGACTTTCATGGAGATGGTGACGGAGAAAAATGATAGCTTTCGCTTTATCTTGGGAAGATGATTGATTAACAGCCTCAATAGTGTCTTCGAGACCATTGGCCTTCAAATGTGCTAAAGCATCAACTTTCCATTCCAGGTATTTTTGACCGGACAGATCAAGAACGTCAAATTCTCTTTTGCTTATATTTGCCATGATACTACAAGAATTATGAAATTAATTTTGATGAGTATAAGTGCCAATAATTTATAAGAATTATTTAGTAGTTATTACAAGAATACCAAATTTAATGCCTATGTAATCACTCTTATTTATATATGTTAGTTATGGGTTTAAGTGTAATCCTGATATACTAAAAGTAGTATTTAAATATTACAACCATAAAATCTTATGTGTTTGTTTATTCATTTAAAACTTCTCTTTAAAAACAAACAAATTTGTAATATTAAATTTGCAGCAGAACTATTTAGGGACAGAAACATTTAAATTTGTTATTAAAAGTCTAAAACTATGAGCTGTGAGCATTAACTTTAATATTCTTAATGAAAATGGTATTGTTGTTATAGAAACATACAAAATAACTCTGCATGTTTATCAGATTAAAAGACCCGTGATTCTCAAAAGCTCAACTAGCATTTATTGCATAACTTTATTAGTTTATATCTCTAGATATGAGTCACCATCTACATGTTATTACGATATCCCAATTTCCCACTTTCTCTAGATATGAGTCACCATCTACTCGTGCTGATAACGTGTTGTGAAATGAAGAAGATGAAGATCGAATTTGGGAGATAGATATATATAGATAAAAAAAACTCTAAATTACTTCTTCTTAATCTCTGAATATTTTCTGAATTTCCGAGTTAATTTACAAGGCATCACCAAACCCCTATTTATACTGATTGAGCTTGGTGATGAATCATTAAAGAGTAATTCTACATATTTTGCTGACAACATTAAAACTAGCTATCCGTCTATCTATGATTACAAGGATGGAAACTAGATTAGTGTCCTGATGACAAGGATGAACAATTTACACTTGTCATTCTAAGGAATTTACAACATAGTGGTAATATTAAGGCTATTGTTTCATTGTTATTTACATATGTTTATCTATTTCACGAAGTATAAAACGTGTATTTAGCTGTATTTTGTACAACCGTATATATTACGTATACACGAACTACTTATTTTTGTACTGCTCATGAACCGTATAATACAAGACTACTAAAATAGATGTGATATCGTACACCTAGCGCATCTGTTTCAGTATACTCTCAGGTCTCGCCCGCCACTTTCTAGATGAGAAGTCTAGGAGAGCTGGAGAGAAGACGACTAGTAGAAGTGTGAAGAAGGTAGTCTTCGCGCAATGTCCTCTAATTCGAGTTCATCTTCGCCGCCGCAGGTGGCAGCCGCGTTCTCTAGTGATGATCAAATTCCATACCGCGAATCCAACCCTAACCGTACCCCCAATTCTATCGATCAGTCGCTGGATGCTATAGAGAATCAACTAGCTTCGATTTCAATGCTCCAGCCCGAACCTGATCCAGTGACGGAATTTGATTCTGAAAGTGAGGCGGCGCGGCTGAAGGAGCTTAGAAACGGATCTTATAATCATGAAATAAAAGATGGTGATGATAATGAGGAGACTGTTTCTGTGACTTCGCTTACTGAAGCAAGCTCACCGAGAGCTGGTGGCACGCTGATTTGGCGGAGCAACTCCGAGGTAGATGAAACCGAAGCATTGCCGAGCCCAAGTAGCAGCGCTTATGCGGGCGAGAGGGGGAGTAGTGGCTCCAGCAGCAGGGGCTCTGGAATTGGAGATGAGATTCATGAAGTCCGTAATGATGAATGTGCGGATGGGGTGTCTGAGTCTAGTGCACAATGGGCTCCAAGAAACCGCCATGGCGATGAGGTAGGTTCCGAGCAGTTTTTTATTTGAGGGAAACCATTATTTTTAAAGCAAGATGTCTTCTTTATACAGTTTTGTTTATGGTTTTCTTTACTTAAAGGCCTGGATTCATGTAGTAATACAAGCACTTTTATTTGATAATAGAGTTTTGTGCCCAATGCATTGTAAAAACCATTTTTTGTCCTACTGCTATATGCCATAATGATAGCAGATCTGTGTGATAAAGGCTTGTATCAGGACTTAACTAATGCATTTCTAGCTTATCTCTTGAATGTTGAATTCTAATTGGAAATAAGCAGAGCTATTATCCGTATGCAAATATCAGTTATTTTTAATAAACTTCATTTCAACGCAAAATGTGAAGAAAACTATTACAGTAGTTTTACTCCCTGTCTTGTGGAAGGGGTTGATATGCTCTTTTGTCATTTTTTTATTGGAATAACAAAGTACAGGATGATACTTCTATGTCGTGGAGAAAAAGGAAGAAGCATTTCTTTATTTTGAGCAACTCGGGGAAGCCAATATACTCTAGGTATATGCTTTTTCGTTTGGGATTTTGAAATTCCACTATGAATTTATTTTATTATTCCTCCATTAGTGACAGGCATAATTCCATAATGTACTTTTGATTTATTTGTGTTTATGCATTAATCTTTTTCCAGTGTGATCATGTATAAGAGCCACCTTACTTTTGTCTTGTATATTTAAAAGATATGGAGATGCACACAAGCTAGCCGGATTTTCTGCCACTTTGCAAGCCATCATTTCCTTTGTAGAAAATGGGTAAATTGCTATTTTCTACCAATAATTTCTTTTGTCTTATAATTTGTTTGGGTCCTGTCAAGTTTCTTGAAGCTGGTTAGATGATTTTTTTTTTGTCTTACAGGGGTGATAGAATCAACTTGATCAGAGCAGGGAAACACCAAGTCAGTTTTTCTTTCTTCTCTAGCCTTTAGAGAACTTTCGAAGTTCTTCCCCTTATACAACAGTACAACACTTCCAAGAGCTTTGGCTTATTAGTGAACTTCTACGTGTTAGTAAATAAAATAAATTAAGTTTTGACCTCTTAACAGCTAGCAGACTTGACTAGAAGAGGATTTGTTGAGACTGATTTTCTTTTATTGGCTGAAAAAGCAAACCTGTACAATATGAAAACACATTAAAGCTATAACAAGTATGAATAGAAATCAGGTAAATAGTTGCTGATTTCTTCAGCGTGTTATGGAGTATAAGTAGTTGCTGATTTCATGTTGGCCAATCCCAAATTCTTTCGGGACTAAGGTTATTGCTGCTATGGAGTATAAATCCAGGAACTATTATGTCAAAAGCACATATGGACACACTAGTGCCTAAGGTCTAGTACATATAGCCCTTTCTACTTTGGGATTAATCCTAGGCGCCTATACTAGATTTCACTGCGGATTAGATAAAGCAACGGGAAAAAAGTAACATAAAAGGCACGGCCCAGTGCACATTGACGTCCCTGCAAGGTGAGGGTCCGAGGAAATATCCCACCACAAGGATGTATAAGGGGAAAGCCTTCCCTTGTCATTTAGACAAGAAGCCTCTCGCAAGACTTGAATTCGCGACCTCTCGGTCACACGAAAACACCGTAACCGCTGCGCCAAGGCTCCCCTTCTATGGGAAAAATAACAATAAGAGAAAGATCTGAAGGGATAGGATTTTGAAGAGAAATATAGAAAACTGACAGGGCATAGGAGGATTTCCAGTATTCATATAAGGGTAAAAAATGATGCAAACACAAGTGCACAGGATGACCCACATTATTGGAAGCAGTGGATTTACTCATGTCAAGACAAAAGGAAAGAAATCAATTTGAGAAGGCATGTAACTTACTCTTAGGAATCTTTCCAATTAGCGGAAGTTACTGTGTATCTTTCAGAATCTTTCTAATTAATAACAGATACCACCTCTGTCTCATAATGTAAGATACATGTTAGTTTTATGCGAGTTTTAAGAAAATAAGGGATAAAGTTGTTGTTTTATAATTCTAACCTCCAAAGTGTAAGAAAAAGTACAATAGGTTGACAAAAAGTAAAGGGTGAAATGATAGATAAGAGGATAAAGTGGGAAAGTAAAAAGTCAGTGGAATTCAATTAAGGGAAGTGTTCATATTTTTATACAACTCAAAAAAAGAAAGTGTATCTTACAAAGTTACAAAGTGGGACAGAGGGAGTGATATCACTATATATCTTTTCAAATAACTGCATATGCTGAACTATTTTTTTTCCCTTTTAGTCTTAGTTTGTTTTGTTTAATTAAAGGGTTGCCCGTTGCCCTTAAGGAGTGGGCAGGCTAACATTAGTTTGTAATAGCTTAGCTATTGGGCATGTTTAAGCTTGCATGAGATGTACATTTGTTTCTTGTTTTTATTTTTCACAGCACTATATTTGAATTTCATTTTAAAATTCCTCTTCATTCTTTAATCATGTCAAATATCAATCAAAATCTCAATATTGTAAAGTCAATGAAAGTACATGTATTATAAATTATAATGCCTATGGACCTTTAAAAACTCTATTAAAGTAGTAATTTAAACATAAATTACCCTAAATATGAGTAAATCAAAGGTTATTTCTCTAAATAATAATACTATGCTCCCCCCTAAGCAGGAGTAAAGTACTCCCTCCGTCCCGAATTAATTGTCTTGTTTGCTTTTGCACAAGTTTTAAGAAAGTGATTGAAAAGGTAAAAGTTGTGGTTGAGATTTGAGTAGAAAAAGGTGAATTGATATGAGCCACCCATTATTGCCAAAAGAGGAAACAAGACAATTATTTTGGGACGGACCGAAAAGGAAAGCAGGACATTTATTTCGGGACGGAGGGAGTACTATCATAGTATCATCCTAAAACCATGCTAATTCATCCTGAAGCCATGCTAACTATGTTGTCATACTAAGTCGGTTTGAGGATGACAGTTCTTTACTCTTATTAATGGAAAAACATAGTACTTATATTAAGAGAAAGCACCTATGTTTTACTGCTATTTAAGGAACCCCTCCTAATTTGATTTCAGACATTTAAAGACTGCTCCAAAGTTTTAATTGAATACCATCAAACTTTTAATGTCTTTAAAAGTCCAAAAAATTGGCTTGTGTCTGAATTAAATATACCCCCCTTGGTTTAAAAAAGCGCGCCTCAAAGGCGCTAAGCGCCCTAAGGCGATCACTTGATCGCATCTTCCACCCTCAGGCGGCGTAGGTTCCAAGAGGCGCACCTTATACAGTTATACGACGCTTTTGACGCCTTTTGCGTCTCTGAGAGGCGCGCACTTCTCATGCCTCATGGATGTCTCTTTTGGCGATTGAGTCTCTCTAGTCTCTCTAGTCTTCTCCCTTCTTCCTTCTGCATTTGCTTTGCTTCCGAGTTCCCACATCTGCGGTCCTGTTTCTTGCTCGCGTAGCAGGACTCGCAAGTCTGTTTCTTCCGCTACTTTCTCGCGTAGCAGGACTCGCTCGTCTATTTCTTCTCTTCTACAGTTTGTTCTCTTATACGTGTGATAGTTTATTAATTAAGTATGTATTATTTTATATTTTATTACCTTGAAATTGTAGTGTTACTACCTCTGTTGGTCTGTTCTAGATCATGCTGAGTAGGGTACCTTAATATTTGATTTTATTTAACAAATATATAAGACAGTTTTTATTATTAACAATTTTTTATATAACATGTTATTAATTATGTTTTGAAATTTTAAGATTGAGTTTTGTGACTTGACTTTTGCCAATGATGCCGTTTGATATTTATTTCTTGCTATTGTCTTAATAAATACTCCCTCCGTCTCTTTTTAGTTGTAACATTCCATTTTTCACGTTTGCCAACACACAACTTTGACCGTCATTATATTTAATTCCATATTAGTAAAAATAAAATAAAAATCATATTACAAAACTTAGTAATGAGACGAATTTAACAATATTTTTCCAAAAAAAATAATTTACATACATTAATAAATAAAATGTAGTCAAAGTAAAGTACATGAATAGTGTATATATTCCAATGTTGCAACTAATGTGATACGGAGGATAGTATTTGGTTTCTCTTATGATGTATGTTAAGATTGTTTAATAGTTTGAAGTATTTTTGTGATGTTATCATTTTTTGAGATATGATGTTAAGATCCGTGAGGCGCGCGCCTCGTCGCCCTGCGCCTCGCGCCTCGGGTAAATCAATGAAAACGCCTCGTGCCACCTCACGCCTTTTAAAACTAAGTACCCCCCTAAGTGAGCGTTTGCTGGTTTTCGCATTAACATTTTGCATCCAATGATAACATGATAAGTGTTGGGAGGCAATCACTTTCCATGCAAGACCACATTTCAGTGTTTCATTAGATGTCTTGTTTTTCCCATTGCATTGAAAGTAATTCTATAGTTCACTTTCTTTCATTATTGCAGCTCAAAGCATATTGCTACCCTTCATGTAATAAGTTTTATGTGATACAGTGGAAATGGTAAATAAGAGCCCGTTTGGTAACAATGAAATTGGCGAAATCCGCCGAAATTGATGAAATGTTAGCTAAAGCGGCTGAATTGAGTGAATCTGTTGAATTATGGAAAAGATATATTTATTAGTTAGTACTATATATGTTATTAATAAAATGAAGAAAAAATTATATGAAAAATAGCTAAAGTGGTCCTCTATAGTCTATATTAACTTCAGTTAATTCAACAAGAATACTAACTCCAATATTACTTATTTTGATTATTACACAATTCAACGCGCGAAGTCAATAGATACGTGTTTGGTAGAAAAGTTGGTTGATAAACAACATGGATTACCAAACAGGCTCCAAGTGCCCAACATTATACGTTTAAAAAGAGGCCAGATGTTGTAAATTCTTAGCAGCCTGACACTTTGTGTGCGAAGTGTTTATTTTGCATCATACCAAACACCCATCAGTATGTCATGTCTTACTGTGTAGTGTGTTTAACTCAGGTAGCTTTTCTTGTCAAAGGACCTATTTACTTAGTTTGCATAAGCTGTACAGAGGAGCCTTATGAGTCACTAAGGGGACAACTAGACCTGCTTTATGGTCAGGTGACCTTTCCCCCTTATATTTACTTTTGAGATGTTTAGTTACTTGACATATATTTATAGTTTTTTTTGTGTCACTGTATCAATATATGTTTTTTGCCGTTTTATCTGCCTAAGCTTGTTATATTACTACAATATCTCATTTCGGATGCATTCCTCACATGGTAGTTGTGCACAAATGCAGATGATTCTTATTCTTACAAAATCTGTGAATAGATGTTTTGAGAAGAATCCCAAATTTGATATGACACCTTTACTTGGAGGAACGGATGTTGTATTCTCTTCTCTGATTCATTCCTTCAGTTGGTTTGTGACTCAACTCTGTTTGCTTTACACTTATTTCATGCCAAGTGTGGAAATATCACAACTTCACTATGATTACCCTTTAAAATATTAAAAACATTGCATGTTCTTTGCACTGGCAAGTCCCAACGGCTAGTTGGTGATGAGGCTAGCACACTCCTCTCTATATTGTACTAGTATTGTATTTCTATTTTATTTTTAATAAGAAAAATGAAAACTGATAGGATGTGGATATCATAATTTACACTCCTAGAGGGAGAACATGGTTACTGTAATAGAAATAAAAGCTTTAACAAAATATAAGTAAGAAACGTCAGTCCCTAGCTCCCTCGCAATCAAGAGAATAACAGGAATTTGATATGAAACCACCTTGTGAAGTGCTTTGAAGTTTCATCTGATTTTGTAAGTGATTAAAAGATTCAAATTGTGATAAAACATTTACATCACCCAATTTAGCTTATAAATGCTTTAAGCCAAACATCTTGCATGTTATAATGCAAGATGTCTGCATGGTAATATGGCATGCCATTTTACCTATTGAGGTGATGTGTTGAGTGACAATTGCGAGGTGGCGCAGCAGGATGAGTGATGCATGGATGAAAAGCGGGTGTGGCAAGTAAGAAGGATGAGGTGACATAGCATGCCAATTTGATATGTCATGTACACATTCTTGCATAGTTGCATTAGAATATTTGTACATGTTAGCTAGGCAGTCCTCTACCTGTCACCTTCCTGAAGCATGTGCTTGACAATGAATATGCCATCATACATGCTGCTAACTTCATACATTGCGTTGTTCTTGTGTTTCACATTTATGAGGCAATGAAAGAAGGAAGTGCCTAAGTAGTTTGTTCACCGTAGAAGTATTAAACATTTGCTTGAGGTTTTCTTTTTTACTGAAAGTAAAATACTAAATAAAAGACATTTGGGACCATACCTGCTGGTGCTGCTCGGCCATTTGTCTAAAGGAAAAATATGCTGTCCTGGGATTCAGAGCCCGTGAGGTTGCAGCAATGCATTGACATATCAATTAGAAACCTACCGGTTGAGTCTCTTCCTATTAACCAGTGGTTGTCAAACGCATTCAAGCTAACTAAAGGACTACTCGTTGGGTATCCTCTCTATTGCGAGCAGTTGCAAACTATTTTTAACACAAAAGAAAGGATGGAAGACTTTCTCCAAAAAGAAAAAGAATGGAAACTTATGAACATAAAACAAGGTGTGTGAGGCCACTGTGCCCAGCCCATCCAGTTTTCCCACCAAAAATCACCTCTGATACATTAAAGAGGGGTAAATTTGACAAAGTGTATATAAGGAAAAAAAAGAAATATGGTAGACCCGGTTGTAGGGGATCACTCCTCTAATAACTAACTCCTGGTGACGTGCAAAGACGTGTGTGCGTGACGAGAGAGTGTGTGCGGAGGGGAGAGTTTGCTAGAGTGGGGCAGACCGGAATTTGGCTTGTCCATGGGAGAGTGAGGACTCTGTAAAACCCTTGTATCGTTTTCATTCATGTTTTCTCAGTTTCCTACATTGTAATCAAGTTGGATCACTCTGATTCCACATTGTTTTCCTTCAATATTATCAATATGAATCAAGTCTGTTGCTATTATATACATATTGCCGCTTCATTCCTATCAATTTGGTATCAGAGCGTGTGATCCTGCGAGTGGATGGTCGCGACCAGAGGTGCGATGGAGAACCGAATGGACACTATGGAACTACGCGTGGGAAACTTAGAAGGATCAGTGAAGCAGATCCTTGAGAGCATGGAATCGTTTCACGCAGAGTTCAGAGACTTTGCGAAGCGGAAGAGTCCCGCTACGGAGGAGGAAGGGGAAATCTCACCTGGCGGAAGTGGAATAACTTCACCACATGGGAAATCTGGAGGGTACGATCATCAATGGCAGGCATGAGGTCGTAAGCTAGAGATTCCAGTGTTTAATGGCGACGATGTGCATGGTAGGCTGGTCCGGGTCGAGAGATATTTCCGGGTCAACGAGTTGACGGAGGCGGAAAAACTCGACGCAGTGGTGATCGCCATGGAGGAAAGGGCCCTTAATTGGTTTCAATGGTGGGAAGAGCAGACGGTTGCGAGAACGTGGCCTGAATTCAGAGTCGTGGTGCTGCGACGGTTCAACCCGGGTGCGTTTATTGACCCGTTGGGCCCGTTACTGAGGTTGAAGCAGGAAGGGACAGTTGCGGACTATAGGGATAATTTTGAGCTCCATGTAGCTCCGTTGAAGGAGGAAGGAACCTTACTTCCCAGTATCTTCAGAAATGGCCTTAAGGATGAAGTACGAGCGGAGTTGAAGCTGTTTAAGATAGAAGACTTAGCAGAATTGATGGATCAAGCTTTGATTGTTGAAGAGAAGCACCAAGCTCTGTTTGGGAAGGGCAGTGTAACAAAGGAAAAAGTGGACACCAAGGACAGGACATATATTCCTATGTTTCGTAGCATGTGGGATAACAACAAAGACAAAAAGGAAGTTGACAGGAAGGATGGTTCTACTGGGGGTAAAGGAGGAGAAGGCTGGAAAGGGAAGTCATTAAGCCAAGCTGAACTAGAAGAAAGAAGTAAGAAAGGATTGTGTTTTAAATGTGGAGATAGATGGGGTAAGGGGCATATTTGTAAGATGAAACATATGAGGTTGATGTTGTGTGAAGGGGGAAGTAGTGACGAAGAGGAATTTGAAGAATGTGAGGCTGTAGAAGAGTTTAAAACTCTACAATTATCCTTGCAAAGCAGAGAAGGGATTGCTACCCACAAGTCTTTCAAGGTATGGGTGATGATTGGAGGTAGGAGAATTTTAACCTTGATAGATTCAGGTGCAACTAGTTGTTTTGTGTCCCCGGAGATTGCCGAGATTTTGAAACTGGAAATAACAGAGACTCCAATTTTTGTGGTGGAGGTGGGAACCGGGGAGCAAATCAGAAACAACGGGGTCTGTAACAATGTTCGATTCACGATCCAAGGGATAGAGTTCAATCAGGATTTTTATCTTATGGATTGGTTGGCGGGGTTGGGCAACATAGAGGCAAATTTCAGAAACTTGAGCCTAAAATGGACTATGAATGGGAAGAAGTACATCATACAAGGTGATCCATCTCTCTGCACAGGGCAAGCTTCCTGGAAAGCCTTGTGGAAGGCATTGCAAGACAAGGGCGTGGGCTTCATAGTGCAGCAAGAGGATGGGGGTGATACTGTCAGTACTGAACATCATTTTTTGGCATTGTTGAAGGAATTTCAGGATGTCTTTGACATGCCAGCAGGGCTCCCACCAACTCGTGACCATGATCATGCCATTATCTTGAAACCGGGTGCTGAGATACCACATATCAGGCCCTATAGATAACCCATTTTACCAAAAAATGAGATTGAGAAGCTGATACGGGAGATGTTGGAGTCAGGCATTGTGAGGCACAGCACTAGCCCTTTTTCCAGTCCGGTTTTGTTGGTAAAGAAAAAAGATGGTGGATGGAGGTTTTGCACCGACTATCGTGCACTCAATAAGGTAACGGACTAACGGTACCTAATAAGTTTCCCATACCTATCATTGATGAATTACTAGATGAACTCGGAGCTGCTGTAGTGTTCTCTAAACTGGATTTGAAATCGGGTTATCATCAAATTCGAATGAGGGAGGAAGATGTTCACAAAACAGCCTTCCGGACCCATGAGGGTCATTATGAGTATTTGGTCATGCCTTTTGGCTTGACCAATGCGCCCTCAACCTTTCAAGCATTGATGAACCAAGTGTTGAGGCCATTCTTGAGGAAATTTGCCTTAGTATTCTTTGATGATATCCTAGTGTACAGTGGGAGTATGGAGGAGCATGAGAAGCACTTGAGAAAGGTTCTGGAGTTGCTAAGAACTAATCAGCTATATGCAAATAAGAAGAAATGTTCGTTTGGACAGTCTCAAATCGAATACCTAGGTCACTTAATCTCAAAGGCAGGGGTGGCAGCGGACCCAAGAAAAATTGAAGATATGCTCAAGTTGCGTACTCCAAAAGACTTAAAAGGGTTGAGGGGATTCTTAGGTATCACAGGTTACTACCGGAAATTCGTCAAGAACTACTGTAAGATAGCCTGGCCTTTGACTCAGTTGTTAAAGAGAGAATTTCTTATGGAACGAGGAAGCACAACAGGCCTTTGAAATGTTGAAAACCATGATGATGACACTGCCTGTATTGGCTATTCCTAATTTCAACAAGGAATTCATGATAGAAACTGATGCATCCGGGAAGGGGATTGGAGCGGTTCTTATGCAAGAAGGCAGACCCATTGCTTATATGAGCCAAATTCTCTCTGATAGATCTCAACAAAAATCTGTCTATGAGAGAGAATTGATTGCAATTGTCTTTGCTATTCAAAAGTGGAGGCCGTATCTACTTGGTAGGCATTTCCAAGTATTAACTGATCAAAAGAGTTTAAGGTTCTTGACTAAGCAACGGATTATGGGTGAAGAGCAGCAGAAATGGGTTTCTAAACTGATGGGATATAATTTTGAGATTAAGTACAGGCCTGGGAAAGAGAATAGAGCCGCTGATGCATTGTCAAGGCAAATGCAGTTTGCAACATTGTCCACTGTGAGATGTGAAATCTGGGAAGGCTTAGAAGATGAGATCCAAGCAGATGATAAGCTGAAATGCATTGTGCAGGATCTGTTAGGTGACTCGAAAAGTCATCCTGGGTATCAGTTGAAGAAGGGAAGGTTGTATAAGGAGGACAGAATTGTTGTTCCACGAAATTCACCACAAATTTCTTGGATACTCAAAGAATTACATGACTCAGCCATAGGAGGCCATTCTGTTTTTTTCAGAACTTACAAAAGAGTTACTGCTCTTGTGCATTGGGAGGGAATGAGGAAACAAATTCACGACTATGTGCAGTCTTGTGAGGTATGCCAGAGAAATAAGTACCAAACTCTGAGTCCGGGAGGGCTTTTGCAACCACTACCTGTTCCACAACAGGTGTTGAGCGATGTCACTATGGACTTCATTGGAGGTTTACCTAAGGCTATGGGAGTGGACACTATTATGGTGGTGGTAGATAGGATGACTAAGTATGCCCATTTCATTGCGCTTAGTCACCCTTATACAGCTAAGAGTGTAGCAGAAACTTTCATCAAGGAAATAGTGAAATTGCATGGGTTCCCGGAATCAATCATATCTGACAGAGATAAAGTGTTTTTGAGTAGTTTTTGGGCTGAACTGTTCAAGCTAGCAGGCACTAAATTGAAGTACAGCGGTGCATACCATCCACAAACTGATGGGCAAACCAAAGTGGTTAACAGATGTCTGGAAGCCCATCTCCGGTGTTTGACTGGTAGGAAACCTAACCAGTAGCCCAAGTGGCTCAATTGGGCTGAATTTTGGTATAATACCAACTATCACTCGTCTGTAAACATGTCTCCATTTGAAGCTTTATATGGCAGACCCCCTCCTGTGCTTTTAAGAGGTGATGTTCATCATTCTTCTGTTGGCGAAGTCAGCAGATTAACAGCTGAAAGAAATGACATGATCAAGGAATTGCAGGAGCAATTGGTGAAGGCTCAAGATAGAATGAGAGCTCAAGCTAACAAGCATAGAAGACCCGTGGAGTATCAGGTAGGAGAGATGGTTTACTTGAAAATCCAGCCATATAAAATGAAGAGTTTGGCTAAGAGAATCAACCAGAAATTGAGCCCTCGTTACTATGGTCCTTATGAGATTGAAAAGAAGATTGGAACTGTTGCTTATCAGCTCAAGCTGCCTCCGGACAGTGTTCCATGTCTCCCTGTTGAAGAAGACAATCGCCCCCACAGTTGATTTTCAACCCCTCCCAGCCTGCATGAATGAAGAATGGTTGCTCCGTTGCTGGAAGTTCAACCAGAAGCTGTCAAGCAGCTGAGAACAAATGATCAAGGTGAGCTAGAAGTGTTGATCAAATGGCAAGGCTTGCCTGAATTTGAGAACTCCTGGGAGCTGGTGACTAAGTTCAAGAGGGAATTTCCTTTCTTTCCCCTTGAGGACAAGGTGAGTGTTGAGGAGGGGGGGGGGGTAATGATACATTAAAGAGGGGTAAATTTGACAAAGTGTATATATCATTATCATTATCATTACCCCAGTGCCGCAAAGGCTCCCAACTACAGTGGGGTAAGAGGGGGTCGGATGTACGCAGTCTTACCCCTGTACTAAAGCACAGAGAGACTGTTTTCGGATGACCCGTAGTGAAAATCGCATAAAAAATTGCATGGACTGACTGTTGCTTCATAACAAAGAAGCGCAGACAGTTTAGTGAGCCCATTTGCTTTATTCCATCACATTCCCAAGCCAAAAAATAATGAGTGTATATAAGGAAGAAAAAAAGAAATATGGTAGGCCCGGTTGTAGGAGATCACTCCTCTAATAACTAACTCCTGGTGACGTGCAAAGACGTGTGTGCGTGACGAGAGAGTGTGCACAGAGAGGGATATAGCGGGGAGAGTTTGCTAGAGTGGGGCAGACTGGAATTTGGCTTGTCCATGGGAGAGTGAGGACTCTGTAAAACCCTTTTATCGTTTTCATTCATGTTTTCTCAGTTTCATACATTGTAATCAAGTCGGATCACTCTGATTCCACGTTGTTTTCCTTCAATATTATCAATACGAATCAAGTCTGTTGCTATTATATACATATTGCCGCTTCATTCCTATCACTCTCCTTTCTGTGGACCAGAGAGACTTTGTTAAGAAATCTTATGCCAAACTTTATTCTCTTAGTAGTTGTTGTTGTAGTAGTCAAAACTGATAATAATCATTGTAATAATAATAACAAAGAGTGGTATTTAAGAACAAAACTAATTCATGCCTCATTATTAACTTATTATGTCTTGACAATACTGTAGGAGATAAATTTTGATTATGTGCACTGCTTTAATTACAGGAATCCTGCTACCTTTCTTCATGCATACACATGCCTCCCACTTGCTTATCCAACAAGGCAAGCGGCTGGTGCAATATTGCAAGATGTTGCAGATTCTGGAGTCTTATTTGCCATACTAATGTGTAAACACAAGGTCATATTAATTTTTTTACTCTTTATTTGAACAACGGAATAGTGTTTTCAAGTGCAACAGATCAATAATCACGCTTTTATGTAATTTTTCTTTCAAAGCATCCTAAATCAATAAATTTGAATTTAGGTCATTAGTCTTGTTGGTGCACAGAAAGCCTCACTACATGCAGATGATATGCTTTTGCTCTCTAACTTTGTCATGTCTTCCGAATCATTTAGGTATGTTACTTTCTAACTTCTGAATCGTTATTTTGTTGGATCTTGGCTGGACACATCCTATTATGAGAATCACTTGGTCATTTTATCTTAGTGACATATTTCTTCATTGAAAAATGACATCTCATTGCTTCATATCTCAGTTGTCTTTTCTGGTTGCCTAATACATCATTTTCTTTTGCAGAACATCTGAAAGCTTTTCACCTATTTGTTTGCCAAGATACAACCCCATGGCATTTTTATATGCTTATGTACATTATCTTGATGTAAGTGGGTGGTGTTTAGAATTAAAAGAATTGAATCAATTAATAAAGTTCTCAAGACCATTGATAAATGAATGTCATTACCTGAAGGTTGTGCTGCAGGATTTGACTATATGATTTTTGTTATGAGTAACAGGTCCAGACGTACTTGGTTTTGCTTACTACAAATTCAGATGCTTTTTTCCATTTGAAGGACTGCAGGTATTAGTATTCTCCTTGTGCTATGCAACAGTTACATGCCTGTAACTTATTTATGGGGTATGTTTGGAACCGGGAGAATACTAAAGAAAGGAAATAGAAAACAAAATAAGGATAATAACTGGAAGAAAAAAAACTTGCTAACCAAAAACATGGCTCTAAATTTCAAACTCTATAGATGTTTTTTAGATATTTGTTGGAACTCATTTTGCTTTTATATTTCTGTTATACAAAGACTAAAGAACTTAATGCCTGTAAAGTTTGAAAAAATCAATCATATTTCATTTTTCTTTGCATCTTTTAAAGTTGAAAGCAAACATAAGAAAATAAATTTTCTCAAGAGATTCTTTTCTTGGCATTTTACAGGATCCAAGCATAGCATTTAAGCTCTTCTGTATCTTGCAGGATTCGTATCGAACAGGTTCTTCTGAAGTCCAATGTACTAAGTGAGGTTAAAAAATCCATGGTAGATGGTATGCGTGTTGAGGACCTTCCTCTTGATCATAGTCCCTGCCCTGGATCTGTGTCTTCCACTCATCTGAGTGAGCCAAGACATACCACAGAACCTCCAAAGAATACTAGGGATGCATTTTTAGGGACTGACGGGCCTGCTGGTCTTTGGCATTTCATGTATCGTAGTATTTTTCTTGACCAGTATGTCTCTTCAGAATTTTCGTCAACAATAAACACAGCAAAACAGCAGAAAAGGTGAAACTAATCTGCATTACCTGAATCTCAGGGCTTGTTTGGTAATGTTTACACTTTTTTTTCTTCAGAACTTTGGTTTTGTTTTGTTTTCGAATTTCTAAAACTGAACGTGTTTGCGAAGGTTCTTTGTTCATGAAAGTGAAAAAAAGGGCAGTATGGTCATATTGGTGTCCCCACAAGGTGACTGTCCACCGTAAGGGTCCCATCACTTGGGTTGGTTTGGTCTGAATTTCTTGTATTTCTTATTTTGTTTTTTGCTTTTTGTTTTCTTTTTTCTTTTTCTCTTGTACTTTCCCTTATTCTTCATCAATAAAATTTCATTTTTCTCCAAAAGGGAGGGGGCAAGCCTTCCCTTTTAATTTTGTCAAGAGACTGCTGTCTTAGTCACATAGGCTGTAACCGCCTAACGGGTGCGCTAAGGCTCCCCTTCTATCATGAAAGTGTGATTTCTAAAATTTTGTACTCCATATATTTTATGAAGTGTCAAATTTACATGTTAGTGAAAACATCAAATTCATGTTTCGAACTTCAAAATTCTGCTTTTATTTCCAAAAGAAAGGTCAATGCAAAAAGAAACAAGTTTTATCATTTTTGTTTCCCACTAAAAGAAAACAAAAACAGTTACAAAAACATTATCCAACGACAACTTCCTTTTTGCAGACTACACAGAGCTTACCAAAAGCTATACTCCTCAATGCATGACAAAGAAGTTGGGCCTCACAGAACTCAGTTTAGACGGGATGAAAACTATGGTAAATATTGTTGCGGTTTTCTTTTCCAACACGTTCAATACATGTATTTCATATTTTCTCCAGAAAGATATGCCTTTGAAATTATGGTGTTCTATATTGTAGTTCTCCTCTGCTGGGTTACACCAGATTTTGAGCTTTATGCTGCATTTGATCCTCTGGCAGACAAGGTCAGTATTTAATCCTTGTAAACCATCACATCATCAGTGCTTCACAATTAATACTACGCATGATTTAAACCCTAACTGTATAATATACTTGAATTTACTGATTTGAATGAAATTGCTTAAGAGAAACTACTCTCAGCAAGTCTTTATTTATAAGGCAAATAATTACAAGGAAAGAATCATATGCACATCAATCAGTAATTAATTCCTGATTTGATACAATCTGTACAGTAAATACTAAAATCAGGAAGGAAATCATATCAAATCTCAACACTCCCCCTCAAGCTGGTGCGTAGATATCATATGCATCAAGCTTGTCACAAATATATCTTATCCTCGGACCTCGAAGTGACTTAGTGAGAAAATCAGCTAACTGATCATTTGATTTGACAAAGGATGTGAAGATTTCTCCAGAAATGACTTTTTCACGAATAAAATGGCAATCGATTTCTATATGTTTTGTTCGTTCATGAAAAACAGGGTTAGAAGCGATGTATAAAGCTGCCTGATTATCACAGATCAGTTTCATAGGTTTCAGTTTGCAAAACTTTAACTCGGACAATAACTGTTTCAGCCATATAAGTTCGCAAGTAGTGAGAGCCATGGCTCGATACTCTGCTTCGGCACTTGATCTAGCGACAACACTCTGTTTCTTGCTCTTCCAAGAGATTAGGTTTCCACCAATGAGAACACAGTACCCTGAAGTTGATCTCCTGTCATTTGGACAGCCGGCCCAATCCGCATCTGAATATGCAGTAATATTGTCACAACCCCGGTTCGCATAAACCAGTCCTCTTCCAGGTGAACCTTTGATGTATCTTAGGATTCGAACAACTGCATCCCAATGACTATCACATGGCGTATTGAGGAACTGACTCACCACGCTCACGGCAAAGGAGATGTCTGGTCTGGTCATAGTGAGATAATTTAACTTCCCCACAAGTCGTCGATATCTTTCAGGATTAGAGATAGGCTCTCCCTGATCTGGAAAAAGTCGAACATTTGGATCAATTGGAGTATCGATCGGCTTACAATCTGTCATCCCGGTTTCCTTCAAAATATCAAGAGCATATTTTCTTTGAGATATGGCAATGCCTGTTTTGGATTGAGCTACCTCAATTCCAAGAAAGTAACGAAGTCATCCCAAATCTTTTGTTTGAAATTGCTGGGACAAGTATAGTTTAAGATTCTGTATGCCATCATGATCATCCCCTGTTATTACAATATCATCAACATAAACAACAAGGTAAGTAGATTGATTAGATAAAGATCTTTTATAAAACACGGTGTGGTCTGCTTTGCATTGAATCATCCCAAACTGTTTGAGAGCCGTACTGAATCTGCCAAACCACGCTCGTGGGGACTGTTTAAGACCATACAAGGCCTTATGCAACCGACACACATATCTACACTCCCCCTGAGCAATAAACCCAGGTGGTTGCTCCATGTAAACTTCTTCTTTTAAATTACCATGAAGAAATGCATTTTTTATGTCCAACTGATGTAAGGGCCAGCTGCGCATAGCTGCCATAGATAAGAACAAACGTACAGAAGCCATCTTTGCAACCGGAGAAAAAGTGTCACCATAATCCAAGCCAAACACTTGAGTAAACCCCTTAGCAACCAAACGTGCTTTCAGCCGGTCAACTTGTCCATCAGGACCAACTTTGATTGTAAACACCCATCGGCAACCAACAATAGATTTACCATGGGGCAGGGGAACAAGAGACCAAGTACGATTGATTTCAAGCGCAACCATCTCATCAAGCATAGCTCGGCGCCATCCTGGGTGGGCAAGAGCTTCCTGGACAGTTTTAGGAATGGAAACAGAAGAGATGGAAGACACAAAAGCATAATGGGAAGGATATAGACGATGATAACATAGACAATTATAAATAGGATGCGGGTTCCGAGTGGAACGTATACCTTTTCCGGTTGCAATTGGAAGATCAGGTTGAGCAGGTGCCTCATGTTGGTCCGGAGTAGGTAAAGGAGCTGGAGCTGGAGGTGAATCAGCAGGGTCACTATTAGGGACATCCTCATTAGGTGCAGACCGCGGTCGACGCTGATAAGTAATGAGTGGTTTGGCAGAGGACAATGGAGGACTGAGAGGTGACAATGGAGTAAGATGAGGAATGGGTAAGACCTGAGAGACAGATTCAACTTCCACTTGTGAAGTGAAATACGGTTGATCCTCAAAGAAACTGACATCTGCAGAAGTATAGAAACGATGAGTAGAAGGTGAATAACAACGGTACCCTTTTTGGACTCTAGAGTAGCCAAGGAATATGCACTTGATTGCTCGTGGAGATAATTTGTCAAGACCAGGGGAAAGATCCTGTACGAAACAAGTACAACCAAAGACTTTGGGAGGAACAAGGAAAATGGGGTCCTTTCGGAACAAGATAGAGTGTGGTACTTTGTTATCCAATGTAGAAGATGGCATTCGATTGATTAAATGAATAGCTGTGAGAACAGCATCTCCCCAGAATTTTAGTGGGGCATTGGCATGAACCAGTAGTGTGCGTGCTGTTTCAATGATATGACGATGTTTTCTTTCGGCAATCCCATTTTGTTGAGGCGTGTGGGGACATGTGGATTGATGAATTATCCCTTGAGTAGCCATATATTCATTGAAATTTGTTGAGAAATATTCCTTGGCATTATCACTACGTAGAACACGAATGATATGATCAAACTGATTTTTTATTTCATTGCAGAAACTTTTGAAAATGCCAAATAACTCTGAACGTTCTTTCATTAAATAAAGCCACGTACATCTTGAAAAATCATCAACAAAGATAACAAAGTACCGAAATCCTAAAACAGAACTGACACGACTTGGACCCCAAACATCTGAGTGAACAAGATAGAAGGGAGATTCTGCATGACTATGACTTTTTGGGAAAGTGGTTCTAACATGTTTACCAATTTGACATGACTCACAGGCTAAGGACTGTAAATTGGAAACTTGAGGTACCATTCTCCTCAGTTTATTGAGACTAGGATGACCTAAACGTTGGTGAAGCAAAGAAGGAGACTCCATAGCAGTGCAAGCAACTGAAGAGGAAGTCTGAAAGTAGTATAGACCCTGAGATTCAAATCCTGCTCCAATCATCTGCCCCGTACTCCGGTCCTGTATAGAAAAAGAGTCATCAATAAAGGTGACAGCACAATTATGACGACGTGTATAAGTTGACTGACAGAAACCAAGTTGAAAGGACAACCAGGGATAAGAAGAACAGAATTAAGAGACAAAGAAGGATGAAGTGTGGCCTGTCCAACGCCAATGGCTTTAACTTTTGAACCATCAGCAAGGGTGACATGGTGCGCTGATTTAGGTTGAGATAACTTTGAGAAAAGAGAAGGATTACCGGCAATGTGATCAGAGGCACCAGAATCTATGATCCAAGATTTGGCGGGTCCTGATTGAGAAAGACAAGCTGTAGAGTTACCGGTAAAGTTGATTGCTGCTGAGGAATGCTGAGCTGCCTTAAGTTGTAGATACTCTTTATATTCATCATCTGATAGAACATTCTGGGCACTTTTAGTTGCTGCCCCAGGTTTCACCGGTTCGGAGTGCATTACATTAACAAACTTGTCAGGCCAACCAATAATTTCATAACATTTATCTTTGGTATGACCCATGCGCTGACAATGACTACACTTAGGTCGACCACCAGTGCCACGTCCTCCTCTATCACGACCACGACCACGACCGCCATAGCTAGAACGAGAGACAAGAGCAGAGAACTCTGAATCAACGTGAGGACCAACACTTTCAATTCCACTTGGTGCAGGAACTCAAAACAGTCGACCGATAAGGTCTTCAGCAGTGGGAATGTTTGGATTCGTTAGGATCTGGTTCCGCACGGAATCAAAATCCCTATGAAGTCCATGGAGAACAAACACCATACACATTTTATCAATTTTATCAAACACTTTAGGGAGATCAGTTTCGCTCAACATCACCTTAACCTCTTCAACAATGGATTGTGCCTTATTCACATATGATGGAAGGTCATGGTCGGACATTTGGAGTGTTGCAAGGCTATGAACAACGTCATAAATCCGTTGGACATCATTCGCAAACACACTTCGAGCTTTCTTCCATATGTCATAACACGTCTTGTATGTGCGGAAGTGGATCAACAGTTTGGGATCAATGGACTGCCACAAAATAGCAACCAATTGATGGTCGGCTTGAGTCCATTTTTCCCTTTCAGATGCAGTTATCTCATCGGCTCTTTTGGTCAAATGTTCGGACAAACCTTGGTCAACAGAAACTTGCCAATCCATGTAGTTTCTGCCGTTAAGTTTTTCAGAAGTTATTTGGGGATTCCCAGAAAAGACAAAGGACACAAGACTCCTGGAAGAGTCAGGAGTCGTGCTGCTTGTAGGAGACATGACGTATACTGACTTGGGAACAATCTGGAATGACTAGGACTTCTATTCCTAGTGCCGGCAGACCAGTCTCGATGAAGGTTGGCTGCAGGGACAACTAGGGAAAGTGAGGATCAGGCTCTGATACCAACTTGAATTTACTGATTTGAATGAAATTGCTTAAGAGAAACTACTCTCAGCAAGTCTTTATTTATAAGGCAAATAATTACAAGGAAAGAATCATATGCACATCAATCAGTAATTAATTCCTGATTTGATACAATCTGTACAGTAAATACTAAAATCAGGAAGGAAATCATATCAAATCTCAACAAATATGAAATACTACGGTATAATGAATGTATTGACAGTTGTTCCATCACTTCCATGTACTCAGAAGTCATGTACGGTTTGGGTATAAATCTTATTTTCTCTTCCCAAACAGTGTATTTCTTCCCGAACATGGTGTCTTTCTTAATCATTCGCACTATGTATGGAAAGAGAAACTGAGAAAGTAAATATGGAGATAAAGACACTTCAACTTGATTGGAAGGGAAGGAAAAATAGGGATGGAGGGGAAAGCAGGTCTTATTTTTTATTTTTTTATCTTCCAAGTTGAAGGTAACTCCACTACTAATGATAAAACATACATTTTTATCCTTTTTTTTTAATTGGTTTTGTATATGTTTTGAAGGCCAAAAGCATAAGTTTCTAAAATTTTAACTTTATGTTCCCCCAAAATCAATAATTGACGTGATAAAAAGTAAAAACTAAATCTATATACTTTCTTATTTTACTTTATACCGAACACAAGAGGTGATAGTAAGAAAGGAAAATGACATTTATTATCATTTCTTTTTCTCTCATATATGGGAAATTCCCAAAATCAGTGCTATTTACATTTGAGACTGCCCATGCAGCCAGCCTACTCATTGCATTGAATTGTAGAAACCCGTAAATTAACACACTTCTTGTGTGCATTTAGTGCTAATTTGATAAATGGTGTTGCTCGCATTTTTGTTTTATCGGCCATATTATAACCCCAACTTGTTTGGCCCCACGGAGTTGAATCATCAGATCATTAAAAATGATTGTGTATAAGTTGCTTTTGAGGCGGAAATAGTTGAAGGGAGGCAAAATGACTTGTTTAAACACATCTTTGATAAAATATTTTGAAAACCCCTTAAATAAACCAGCCACAAAATTTCTTGCAGTTTTAATCGAATTTTGCCTTCACTTGGTGCAATTTTAATCTTCACAGACCTTAAAATATGTTGTTACTTGCAGGCTTCAGCAATAAAGATTTGCAATCGGGTGTGTCAATGGGTGAAGGATGTAGAGAATGAAATTTTCTTATTAGGAGCTAGCCCTTTTTCTTGGTGACTACTGTTTTTTTGGTTGCTCCCTCAAATAAATTATTGCCTTGATTTTTTGATTGGCTAAGGGCAAATTTGAAATTTGTAGCACTTGCCTCGTATCATCTGTAAAAGCAATATAAATTGTCATGTCTAGATTTGAGCTACTCAGTTTAGAATAACTATAGAGATCTTTCTTTTTATAACTTTAGCCTAGTTTCTTCAAGGCGGCCCAGGCCGTGGTTCGAGCTGTATGAACTTTTACGTTGACTTTCCTCACACACTAAACCTATCTTTTGATTTTGTATTTATATATTCTTCAAACGGTTACTGGCGTGTAAATAATTGAGGCTTACACTGCCTATTAACCTACAACTCCTACAAGGCTACAGCCTACAAGGCCACAAGGCCGGTTATAAATCCTTGATTTTTTTATTGTTGTTTTCCCTAGGTTTGTACATCCTACTAGGCTCGTTTAACTCGTTCCTACAAATACTATGAAGAATATGAAATCTTGACATCTTTGTGACTTTGTGTATCATAAATTCATAAAACGGAATCCCAATTTTTATATGGTATAAATACTCAATAGCGTGATATAGAAAAAATCTATCTTGGTCTATACGCTATAGCTGTTTGGTAACGATTAAAAACAATTTTTTAATCTTCAACTTTGAGCTATGAAAGGATGATCACTGAAAACTTTACCAGTAAGAGTAGAAAATTATTGGGAACCACATCCCTCTGGGGGCCAAGACAGATACCTAGGGATGGACCGGGCCTGGTCCGAGCTGGGCCTTGGGACGGGCCCGGGCGGTACTAATATTTTGGGTTTAAGGCCCGGTACTGGCCCAGGATTCCATTGGGACTGGGCCGGTCCGATCTACCCGCTCGTGTCTCGGGTTGGGCATATTTTTTTTGAAATCTTGTTTAAAAATTAATTAAAGAAGTGCTAGATATAAAAAAGTTAAAGTATATTTATTTGAAATATGAACTACACTTGAGAATTGAGAAAATTTTAAAACATTAAATAAATTTCCTAATAATCCGTCGGAATCTCCGGCAGTCCGGCACCTTCGGTTGTTGTTTCCTCCATGAAGTGGCGGGTGAGAGTGATGCTAAGTTCTTGAGTTCTACGTTCGGCCTTCAACCAATCGTGGAAGCAAACAAGCATCTCAAGAGATTTTGCGCTCAATCGCGTTCTATGATCCGTTAGGACATTGCTGGCCACACTAAATTGTTGTTCCACGGCAACTGTTGATATCAACATTGATAGGACTTGCGTATCCATCTTTGATAAAACCGGGAACATTCTTTCTTTTTCCGTCCACCACTTTAGAACGTCAAAGTCATCATCATCTTCATAGTCATCAGGAAACGTTAGATACTTAGATATAAAGAAAGCTCATTAACTGAGATTTGTGCAACATCGAGAGTTGTTTTACTTTTTATCATAAGATTGCCAATTGTAGATTTCAAAAATGATTTTCCTTTAGATGAAGAAGATGTTCGTGTCGGGGGAGGGGACTTGTTACCATATTGTGCATGAAACTCATTATATAATTGATGAAACAAATTACTAACCTCATTGTATTCCTCTTTAGGATCTATGGGCTTATCTTCATACTTAGGAAATGGACAAAAAAAGAAGCATAATATTACTCTAAACAATTTTGAAAGCATTAAGTTTGAAACGAGGATCAAGAATAAATGCAATACGATATATAGGCGGAATATGTGAATAATATTTTAAAAACTTTTCTTTCATGTAATCACAAAAATGATGAACGTAAGGGGCATCGGAAAATTCAGCAAAAGCATCGGCGAGATTAATAGCTTCAATTAAAAATTGGTTTGCGGTAGGTTTATAAACATGACTAAAAGTTTGGGTTGCATTATTAAAATATACCAAAACATTGATATTTTTTTTTCTATAGTGTCAATGTCAGTCGGATTTATAATATAGTTAACATATTCTTTTAAAAAAGCAGGAAAGTGGTCTTTAAATCTAACAAGTACATCAATTAAGTTATAAGTACTATTCCAGCGAATAGACAAATCTTTAGGAAATTGATAATATTTAACACGTCTATCCCTCAAATATTGACGCCATTACATTTTTAGTGGATTACTAGCCCAAATAAGTCTAATTCCACCCTTCACTATCTCCATAGCATCTCCTAACACGGCTACTCTACCTTTTACACATCAATTGAGAATATGACATGCATAATGCTGATGAAAAAATCTACTCATCAAAGTAGAAGAACCACACAATTCACGCGATCTAGGTGTAGCAACAATATTATTACTAGCATTATCAAAACTCATATCAAACACCTTATCAATCAAATTATACTCAATTAAAATACGCTCAATGAGAATATAAATATTATCAGCGGTGTGTCGATCATTAAATTCACGAAAAGCAAGAACATGTTTATGCATTTCCCAATCATCATCAATATAATGTGCAGTCACACCCAAATAATACAAATGATGATGATTATCCTCCCATATATCACTATTAATAGTTTTACGACTATAATTTCTAAATTGAGGATATAAAGAACCTTGAGCATAAGATTTTAAAGCAAGAATTTCAGAAAAAATAAAAGGCAAATTTTCTTCAACAATTAAGTGAGACATAGCAGTTAAATGTTTGGAATCATCATAGGAGAAATTACCATAGGGTTGGCCAGTTGCAAACCTCGATATTTGAGTTTGCTACCCCTTGCCATTTAATTTCTCATACTCCATGGGGTGACGGACCTTAATTAAGATGCATATCAGCGCCGCCGTATCCTCCAGAAATTCTCAAGCTAATATATTTCTTACAACGGTTGCAAGTTGCGTACCACTTCTCGGTTTTTGGGTCCATCCACTTTTTATAATGATTTTTCATAAGGAGAGATTCACCTTTCTTACCGGGTTGGGATGAACCAGCCTCGTCGTCTTTGTTGGTGTAATCGTCCAGGGTTTGAGAGCCGTCTTGTTCGTCCTTGGCCGTCGGGAGTGTCATGTTGTTGATAAAAGCGCTCATCTTGTTGGCCCAATACTTGTTGTAGTTGCGCGTCGGACATCGCATCCGCATCTCTCCGTTGGTAATCCGTTTCAAAATGATCTCGACTTTGAGAAAAAGACCCGATATGTCCTTTACCTTTGCGTGAAATAGGATGATTCATCACAATCTCCTTCTTTCAGTTGCGTTGGAGGTTACCCATACCTATAGAATGTCTACCACGTTCCATCTTAAAATGTAAGAAATATTAAATTCTAACAAATATGTTAATGTGAGTACAAAAACAATGCAAGTAATAACAAATGTAAGTAATTTGTAACAATACTTAATATGTGACTTTTATATTAAAATGTAAGTAATGTGATTGTACTAAAAAAGTGACTTTTTTTTATTAAAATGTGACTAGTAAAATTAAATCAAAATTCCAAGTAGTTTAATAAATGCTTTAATCCAACAAGTGTTAATATAACAAGTGTAGTAAAATTAACTAAAACTCTAACTACTTTAATAGTTTAATTAACTAAAATTCCAACTACTTTAATGATTCAATCTAACAAGTGTAGTAAACTTAACTAAAATTCCAACTACTTTAATAGTTTAATTAACCAAAATTCCAACTACTTTAATAGTTCAATATAACAAGTGTAGTAAAATTAGCTAAAATTCAAACTAGTTTAATAGTTTAATTAACTAAAATTCCAACAACTTTAATAGTTTAATTAACTAAAATTCAACTACTTTAATAATTCAATATAACAAGTGTAGTAAAATTAACTAAAATTCAACTACTTTAATAATTCAATATAACAAGTGTAGTAAAATTAACTAAAATTCCAACTAGTTTAATTAACTAAAATTCCAACTACTTTTATATTTTAATATAACAAGTGTAGTAAATTAACTAAAATTGCAACTACTTTAATACTTCAATCTAACAAGTGTAGTAAACTTAACTAAAATTCCAACTACTTTAATAGTTTAATTAACTAAAATTCCAACTACTTTAATAATTCAATATAACAAGTGTAGTAAAATTAACTAAAATTCCAACTAGTTTAATAGTTTAATTAAATAAAATTCCAACTACTTTTATATTTTAATCTAACAAGTGTAGTAATATTAAAGAGAAATGTAACTAATAGGAAAAATGTATGAATGTATACTAATTAATGGGAGTGTGAGTGTGTAAGTAATAAGATAAATTAAACTAATATTAATTAAAGTGCAACTAATATATAATATATTGTTTACAGTATATAATATATATGTATACTACTATAAGATGAGTAGTACACTTATATTTAATACTTTAATTTATATATACTTAATATATTAATTAGATGAAATGTAAATATAATTAAATAACAAGTATATAATAAGTAGATATTAAGTATGTATCAAGTAGATAATAAATATGTGTAGATATAATATATGTATTTATAAGTAGATAATAAATGTATAAGTAGATATAATAATTGTATAACTAATATAAAATATAATTTTTATAGTGTTCAAGGAAATTACTTGTAGTGTACTGTCATTATAGATAGAATATGTACTAGTATATTATGTGTACTAAGTTAATGGGCCCATGCGGCCCATTTCTTAAAACCCCTAACTCTCCTCTGTTTAAAGAGGGTTTGCCTATTGGAATAAACACACATTCCCCACAACACGTTATCAAACACGTAGCCTAGGTCTATTTTTCATCCCTGCGCATCAACCCTTCTCCAACCCGCCGCAGCAAGGCTACGCCAACCCTCACCACAACAGCAAGGCTGTGCCAGCCCTCCCTCTGCCGCAACACAGTAGCAATCTTGCTCCGCCACAGACATTCATCCCTCCTCCGCCACAGACATTCATCCCTCCTCCGCCCGTCACAAATATTCATCCCTCCTCCGCCGCAGCACGGTAGCAGACATTCAACTCTTCTCCAGCCACAACACAGTAGCAATATTTGAGGTATTTTTTTAACTCAAAATCTTTGCAGAATCTTATGTATATGATTTATTGCATTATGTTTGCCATTGTGTTGAACATCATTGATGTTTTTTTGAGATTAAGTTATCATTTTTTTATATCTATTTATTGCACACCAAGTGTTTGATGTTATGCCTCATTCATTTTTTTGGAGATAGATGCATTTTTTTATTATAATTCCGTAATGTTATATGTTATAATCATATAGTTGGAGTCAACATCACATTATGCATCCTCCTTCCTTTTTATACATCCATGTGATCATACTTTTCCGTAAAGCTATATCTCATATACATATAAATGGAATCAAAGATCACACGAATTAATCTTATTTTCATGCATTTTATATGATTATAGTTTCCGTAAAGCTATGTGTTAAATACATATAATTGGAATTAAGATCATATTATGCATTTTTTTTTAATTATTTTATACATATTATGTGATTATATTTTTCCGTA